TGTGGGCGTCGGGGCGGCCCTTCGTCGTCCACGGCTTCAACACCTACTGGCTCATGTACTTCGCGGCCGACCCCGCCACGCGCCCCGCGGTCACCGCCGCCCTCGCGGACGCTGCCCGCGCCGGGCTCAACGTGTGCCGCACCTGGGCCTTCAACGACGGCGGGTACCGCGCGCTGCAGCTCAAACCCTTCGCCTACGACGAGGAGGTCTTTCAGGTGCGCGCCCTGTCGCTACTCCTGTAGCATGCGCGGCGCTTGTTCGATGAAATGCTTCTCCTACGACGAGGAGGTCTTTCAGGTGCGCGCCCTGTCGCTATTCCTGTAGCATGCGCGGCGCTTGTTCGATGAAATGCTTGGTGGATGGGCCTCTCGTCTTCACATCATTTATTATTGTCAATCGTCCAGCGTTTGTACTACATTCCCTGTATCTCTCAAACAGAGACTCATATCTGTGCAGTAGTACTAGTTACTAATTAATTAAGTGACAACTAAGCTTAGAATTCCATTTTTTTTTGTTACAGGCATTAGATTTCGTGATCAGCGAGGCAAGAAACCATAAGATGAGGCTGATACTGTCACTGTGTAATAACTGGGAAGATTATGGAGGTAAGGCACAGTATGTAAGGTGGGGAAAGGATGCTGGCCTGGATCTTACTTTCGATGACACCTTCTTCTCTGATGCCACAATCAAGAGCTACTACAAAGCTTTTGTTAAGGTAAACGTTCCGCTTGCATGGCTCAAAATGGAGAAGTGAGTCTCAATATATTCATAGCTTCGTGATCTTAATTCTTATCAACATCTGTTTTTAGGGCACTTTTTTTTTGTTTGTTCACAGTTCTTTCATATCTTAGGCTGTTTTGACAAGAAAAAATACAATCACAAATGTCGCCTACATGGATGACCCTACGATTCTTGCCTGGGAGCTGATTAATGAGCCACACTGCCATTCAGATCCATCAGGCAACACATTGCAGGTCCTTACTTTGCTTTCTATTTGTTACAGCTACAGTTCTGTTTCCTTTTATTTTTCGTGTTTTAAAACTTGGAGTTTCTTGTAGGCATGGATAGAAGAGATGGCGTCATATGTGAAGTCTATAGACCCTGTGCACCTTTTAGAGATCGGCGTTGAAGGGTTTTATGGTCCGTCAACTCCAGAACTTCTGCATGTGAACCCAGATGCTTATTCTGGAACTATTGGGACGGATTTTATCAGGAACCATCGTGCACTGGGAATTGATCTGGCTTCTGTTCATATTTATTCTGACAATTGGTAAGTCCTCATGTAGACATGTTCTTTCCACTGTGAGTTCTGTAGCTGACCAGCTATAAATGATTCATCTAGGCACTTCATGAGATTGAGTTGATTATCATGACTGAGTGAGATCCTTTTGCCAGGTTACCTCACTCTGAAGAGGACAGTCACCTCCAGTTTGTGAAAACCTGGATGCAACAGCATATTGATGATGCAGCCAACTTGCTTGGGATGCCAATTCTGATCGGGGAGTTTGGGGTATCACTTAAGCGTGGAAAGTTTGGCCATAAGTTTCGCGAAGCTTTCATGGAGACAGTCTACAGTACTTTTTTGAGCTTTTGGAAGAGTGGAGTGATTGGAGGAGGCTGCCTTGTTTGGCAGCTTTTCCCAGAAAGCACTGAGCACATGGATGATGGTTATGCAGTCTTTTTTTCAAAATCACCATCCACATTAAAATTACTTACAGATCACTCGAGGAGTCTAGAATCTTGAAAATGTGTTGCCTCCCTACTTATAAGAGTATATGACACAGTCCATGCTTTAAGTTTTTGGAAGCCAAAAAACATGTCCCAGAAAGTTGGAAGTTTAGTGTGTAAATTGTAAGGCACGTGTGATTATGACAATAATATGTACTGGCCTCTGGATCTGAAAAATAATGTGTTTTTATGTAAATGAGAGGGTAGATATTGAACTTTGGAATGAAATTTCCTCTGTCATGCACTTACCGAATTGCATTCCACCTATATCCTTATACAATGAAGTGATTTCTTTGTCACGTCCCGTATTGTTGTTTGAGCCTTTATGTGTCATGAGGTGATTATCTATTATGAAACTTACTGAAGTGAAAATCTATTGTTCGAACTTTTAGGGACGTCAGAAGTTTGCTTACTTTATACTTTATGAAAACAAGAACTCTTGAATTGCTCAAAAGACAAAAATAATAACTCTTTAAAGGTCTCAGTTAGATTAACAAAGACTGGCCAAAACTATACATTGTTATCAATCACCGGTGCAGTTAAAAGTGCTTCCAAAGTAGCATCTATATTTTACGTATTTTTCTGTATGACATGTAAGAATTTTTGGAATGGAAATTATAAAGGCTCTGACTTGAGTGAATTGTTCAAAAAAAACTGAAGGTAAGTGTTTGCGCTGAGCGATGTTTTACTTGCAGTCTTGCAGCATTAAACCATTTTTGCAGATATGCCTTGAAGATTCACTGAGAAGGATGTTTGACAAATCTGAGGTCCTAAATCTTGTGGTGATTATTGTTTGTGGGTAGTGTTACAAGAATTTGGGCAACCCCAGTCTGTAGCTTTCTGCATTTGTGCATCATAGAGATTTGACTATTAAATTAAACAGCTGTTCTGGTGCAGAGAAGAAGGGACTGTGATCTGTATCTATGACCAAAACCTCACTGGGTGGCCACTTCTTGATCATGGAATCTTGCTGTTGAGGATCCAGCATGTGGTCACGCTCCGTCTTTATGAAAATTCGTTTGATTCGGTTCAATCTCTCATCATCTCCTTCAAAGCTTGCTGTACTGATAGCTGTTGCAGGCCACGGACGCATCAGCATTGAAGCAAGTACTGATTCCTGTACCAGATAAAAATTAGGATGTAAGTAAACTCTGCATCATTATTCACCTTTCATTGGAGCACATGTTTAGTTCAGGAAATGAATGCTCATGAAATAGAAAGGGAAATAATAAATAAATATCCTTTTACGATGAATTATGCTAATACAATGTTTAGATTTTTGATCAGTAGTTTAGTAAAGAGGGTGGCTTTGGTGAGCACATCCCCACATATTACAATGTGCGGTGAGATTATGTTTTCTATTCTTGCTTCAATGTTTCTCCCAAGGCACATTTCATACAATATAAATATATAATACCTCTTCAGGGCTTTGTTGTGATAGTCGATCACGCTGGAATTCTAGCCTCAAGGCAATGGTTGTTGGAGGATCATCTGCTCCTGCACCAAGTGTCAACTCAATCTCGTTCTCAGGCAAAGTTGGTAATCCCTGTTACATGTTAATATGAAAAGGATGTAATAATCATACACTGTATTATAACAGAAGATTAATCACAGTAAATTCATCACGAGCTAAGGTAAGTTCATATAATTGTTTCAGGGTTCTTCTCAAATTTCCTGAACTTTCTATTTCGTGTCTCTGCATATGACTATGCTGATAATAAGTCAGTTTTTAAAGAACTTGGTGCCTGGTTGACATTTCCACCATATTACCTTACTTTTGATCAAATACAGTTTAGTAGCTACTGCAACTAGGTGGGTCTGTGCTCATATGAATTATTACATTTCTCTTTTTATAATAAAAACCTAAATGTTTGCACTATATGTATATGTTTGTTTGATGTGTAGTGTATGGCTTATATTTTTGTCATTTACTAGGAGGTCTATGCTTTACGAAGAGAGCAAATAGATTCTTAAAAACATTACATCTTTCTTATCTTCATCAGCTTGAAATCCAAATGGTAGCATTGTAGCTGCCACAAAAAATGATTGACTGATCCTGTCAACGAATTCGTGCATTGCATGGATCACACTCAGCCCTCCAGCACCATGTCCGACTAGAATAACCTGGAATTGGACTGAAATGAGTTAGCATGGCACACCAATTTTCAACATTGTTCTTAAATAGCTCCTTAGCTAGCTGCCTTAAGTATGTTTGCTGGAGTCACATAATTTCTAAATTTTGTTGTACAGCACTGTTGTAAGGTATTTCCTCAGGTGCATGTTATCCACTTATCCTAGATACAGTGTCAAGGATCATAGCTTAAGCACAGCTTATGATTCAATTGAAATAGGTTCCACTTACTTTTGTGTAATATGATACACCTTTTATTCAAAATAGCATAAAACATTTTGCCTATGGCAATTTACACTGCAATCCGTAGTACTGATATTACAAATTGTGGCAACATATCATTACTTATATTCAATGTGTTGGCAAAAAGGAAGAACAATGCACGTACCTTCTCCTCCTCTGGCAAGGTTGAAATGAGGTCTATGAGCGGCTTGTCATACTGCTTGAACGACCGGATTGTGTTGGGATCAGTAGGATCGACGCCACCTCCGGCAAGGTCAACGCATGTAACACGGTACCCAGCGCCCTCAAGGAGCCAGCGCAGCTTGAACCAGCACCAGGCTCCATGCCCTTCACCATGAACAAGCACAAAGTGCTCCTTTGCCATTCCCATCAGTCTGGCCTCTGCCTACCAATCTAATAAGTTTAACTATTTGATGGACATGCAGCAGGGGAGCTGCATTTTCATGGCCAGTCCAAATGAAATGTCAAACCGACAAGGCGTCCAGTGATTTCCATTCTAAATAGAGAGTCTCATGACAGCAGGTGTCTACGTTTCTGGCATGCAGAGTTGCCTAATATGGTAGATGATCAGGATATAGCGTGTGGACCAGCTAGTTTTTCTCCTCTTTTCCCCTTGTGTGTGACTGATAGGTATATATTTAGCCTTCTGTCCTCATGTTTTTTTTCCTCCTTGCGGTCTTACATGCACTTATCATCACTCGCTCTCACCATGGTACATGCATGTATTCATCAAATTTGCATTTCAGAATATATGTCCTATGGTGGTGGGCTGACAGCCATTTATGGATAAATAAACAGTAACTTGATTGGCATACTGCAGACATATAGCACCACTGAAAGAACAGAACAGGTGGAGCCTCCAATGGGACTATGAGTACGCTGCACCAGCGTTTACAGATCACAATGACTTCAGGATCAGCTCGAAGAGACGCTCCGGCTCAGAGAAGAAAGGGCTGTGGTCAGTGTCCATCGCTGCCACCTCGCTCAGCAGCCACCGGCGGATCATCGCCTCCTGCTGCTCCGGCTTCACCATGTGGTCATTGGTTGTCTTTATGTACACCCGACGCACTGCGTCTACTGAACTCTTGGCGCCGTCATCGACATGGCCGAACCTGGCAGTGCTCAGAGCGGCCGGCCACGGGCGCAGCCGAATGGATGCAAGTGTGGAGTCCTGCAGAAATGTTGTTCATGGTGGTGAGTTCGTTCGCTGAGACTTATCTTGCTTCCACAACTGAATAAGAAAAAATGGTTCATTATATTAACCTCATGGGAGCATTGGTGATACAGGATTGTGCGCTGGTGCTCCTCTCTCAGCGCCACACTCGTTGGAGGGCGGCCGTCTCCCAGACTGAATTTCAGGTCGAACACATCACCAAACTCGGATAAATCAGGTACCCCCTGTTGGTTTCAGTCCATGTTTCAGAGAATACTTACAATACTACTTACTTTCTGTTACCAGATATAAACAAGAGTTGAACAAAGCAATAAGCATAGGGGAAGTGATGAATCACATCTTTTATATCTTGTTCCGTTTGGTACCCAAACGGGAGCATGGTTGCTGCTATGAAGATGGCTTGCTTGATCTTGTCTCTGAACAAATGCATCGCATGGGTGACGCTCAGTCCTCCTGCGCTATGCCCTACCAAAATTACCTGACAAGCAACAGTAACACTGGAGATATCAACCGGTAACAGAACTAATGGACACAAGTTTCTAATACTAGTATTTGGAAGGTAGGCGTACATCAGTTTAGTTTCTGCATATATATGCGAAACTGTGGTCGTCCGGCAAATGGTCACTCACCTTGTGGCCGTCCGGCAAGGCGGCCATGAAGTCGGTGAGCGGCGCGTCGCGTCGAACGACCGGACGTCGTCCGGGTCGACGAGGCTGCCGGCGGCCCCGGTGAGGTCGATGCAGGAGACGCGGTGGCTGGAGCCCCGGAGCAGGCACGCGAGCTTGAACCAGCACCAGCCGCCGTGGCCGGCGCCGTGGACGAGGACGAAGTGCTCGTTGTTGGCCTTGTAAACCTCGCCGCTGGCCTCCATCTTACTTGCAGCTTTGGTTGTTTGCAAAGTTATACTACGATCGTGTGTGTCTGCGTATGCACTATTGTGTATATATGCATGAATATATACGGTCATATGTAATACTCCTATGTTGCTTACGTTTGAGACAGGCATTCGCAACCAAATGTGAGTTGAAATGGTCAATCGATCGATGTGCAAATCAGGCCAAGCAGATGAGCGTACGGAATCGGCGAATTGGAACAATCGTACATCACGTAATCACATTGTGCGCACGTGTGCAGCTGCCCTAAAGTTTATGATATATATGATCGTTCCTAGGGTCATAACACCAAATTAGACTGCAATTTGGGCATATCTATTTTTTTAATAAAAAAGTACAATGCAACAACTACATTGATTTGTTTGCAAGTAGGGGCGTAGTTTAGCTTATGTCAACCTGGGTAGCTTGTACGCCCTCCGTTCCATTGTTCTTGTCGTTTTATAAAAAATGGCACGGTCTTCAAACACATGGCTTTGACTATAACTTTTCTATTACAATATCAAAATATCAATAACTATGTAAATTTATGAAAGTGCTTTTAAGACTAATCTATAGAAGCTATCTTATCATCTTAAAGCTTTATGTCAACGTTTTAATTGCTATACATTGTTGAATAGTTCCCGGCCCCATCGGATTGGAATATGTTTTTTTTATCCAATCGAAATATCTTATCTTTTCTCTAAAACAATTTACCTGTATTGGCAAACCAATGGAACACCACCATTTCTATGATTTTCCTTTTATTAGTTTTAGAGCAAAGTTTTAGGTGCCAAAAAAGAAAAAGAAAAATCAAAGACAAGCGAATGGCTGTGTGGGCCATGTGTGGTTTAAATGGGCCTGCACGTACGGAAGATAACACTTTTTGGTGCCCTTTGAGGTTACCTAGTTGGGCGAAGCCCATGACAGAAACATGGGCTTTTGTTGGATTATCGATGCCTAGCTGAGCTAGAGCAGATTATTGGTCAGGCGTCACGGTCACGAAGAACAAAATTGAGGGTACGGTGACAAGCTGTGCTGCTGTGCAACGAGTCCCAATTAAATGTGTCGGCACAACAATCAGTTCATGTGTGCTCACTGCTCAAGTACAGTTCTCTATTCCATCTAGGAGGAGTCACTTGTTATAATGTCGGTGTTTTTAATATTTGTATTTATATATGGAAGATTTCGAGAGGATCCAAGAGTTTATCTTTGGTTTGTGAACGCCCTACGTGATCGCGACACTTAGTTTGCGATGGGGTTACAAACAAATGAGAAAGGATTACGATCTAAACAAGCCCTGAGCTAGAGCAGATTATTGGTCAGGCGTCACGGTCACGAAGAACAGAATTGAGGGTATGGTGACAAGCTGTGCTGCTGTGCAACGAGTCCGAATTAAATGTGTCGGCACAACAACCGGTTCATGTGTGCTCACTGCTCGAGTACAGTTCTCTATTCCATCTAGGAGGAGTCACTTGCCATAATGTACGGCCGGTGAGGCGAGACGGACCCCCCACACGGCGAGGCCAGTTTTCGAGAGACGGAGACCCAAGAGTCGGCGAGCGGATTGTCCTTGAGCTTCATGAGCCCTTCCGAGAGGTCAGGCGAGATTTGAGCCCGCACCTGAGGGGTCCGGGCGAGGTGAATCCATAATTTTTAATAATTTGAATCAACGTGGACACTTTCCTTACTTTGGGTATCCCTATTATCGACCAAGTTGCCCCCCGAGCTGCATGGAGGAGTAGAATACTCATTTGGAGGCTTTTAGGATGAGAGGACTCGAGGGCCTTGGGTCTTTTTTTTAGCTCATGGCATGTCCCGGTAGGGCGGACGGTTCTCTTTTGTTAATCGGTCTTCGAGGGCATAAATCAATTCAAATTAAAACTTTGTGTATCCCTATTATTGATACCCGACACATAATATAGCCTATAGAGAGTTCGTTGATCGTTTCCGGCTTTCACTTATCTTATGAGCCATACTATTTCAGCAAACGAACCATGTTTTCTCATAATAAATTAATAAACTGTAATTTTAGCCATGACTTTTTAGTAACATTAAGGGTCTCGGTCCAAATTGTTAATTTCGTCAGATTTAGCTTATAAACTATACTTTCGGCGAACATTCACACCAAACCTAATTAACTTTTTAAGTCAACCCAAAAGCGGGTTGGGCAGTCAAACACGTCGATCTGGACGGAATCCAATTACATGTGTGGTTGCGTTTGGGTAATAATTGAAGGCATTAAATAATGAAGCACTATCATAGGACATTGATAGTACAGTACCTACGTTCTGGCCATTCCTGTTTTTTTATTCATTTACCAGTAGAGAATGTAGGACATTATAAATCACAAAGAATTTGTTTTTTTATGATTCAAATCATGAGGAATTTGTTGGGATGGAGGGCTTGATTGGTTCGCTTCTAAATTTTATCATGTCAAAGATTTGACAATTTATGATTTTGACTAGTATTTGATTTGTTATCAAACTTGTCAAACTCTCATATTTGGCTTGCCAAATCTATGATAATTTTTTTACCCAACTTTTGACATGATAAATTTTGAAGTCAACCAATCAAACCCGAATTTATTTGATGGAATGATTTGACTGTGCCGTGTAAATCCCTGACATAGATAATCATTTCAACGATTTTTCTGGACCCACTCTCAGTTCTACTCCCACCGCTCTAAATTATAAATTATTTTAACTTTTTTGTTCGTCCATTTAGATATGTATCTAAACATATTATTATATACGTAGATGCATAATAAAATAGATGAAAAAAGGTCATGTTATTGAAAACTATCGGAGGAAAACAACGATCTTCTCTACTAATTTTAGATTTGACATGTGATATTTTAGAAACAGCTAGAGTCCATTAACAGCAACAACAACACACGACTGTATTTCCGAGTCAACCCTACGAGATGCCTTGAGGAAGAGGGATTATCTTGTTTCCTTTTCTTATTTGATTTTGACTTGGACGTAAATTGACCGCAGCAGCAGCAGAGGCACAACAGCCCCATGGTGACAAGTCCGTGTCCGGGGGCGGCTCACACTCACACCACCCGTGCTGACACGCAACTTGCAAAGGGCGAAGTGAAACCAAGCAAGCAACCAGGCAGAGGCAGGCGGTCAGGGTCGTCAGAGACAGGGACACGGGGACGGGGACGGAGCCCGCCGCACAGCAAAGCTCCGACCTTGCGCCGCCACGTTCGTCTCATCCCTCCCACCCTCTCCTCCACTCCTCACCTTCTCCTTGGCGCCCTCCTGCAGTGCACGCACGGCTGCACCCCGTCCCATTTCTCTCTTCCCACCTCCTCTCCATCCCCACTCCCCTCCCCCTGTCTGTCTGTCTGGGAGGCGAGGCGGCGGGGCTGGGGCTCTTCTTCCTCCGTTCCTCAATCCTCCTCCTCCCCCCGAGTCAAACTCCTCTTCTTCCTCCGTTCCTCAATCCTCCTCCTCCCCCCGAGTCAAACTCCAGCCAGCCTCGACCTGGCCGCCGGCAGACCGAGCGATTGATCGGGGGATCGAGGAAAGGAGGGAACAGGCTACAGGCCCAACTCCAGCACACTGCACACCAAGGAGCAATCTTCAGGAACAGGATCATCATGCCTTCTTGCCCGCAGCGAAGAAGAGCGAAAGGTTCGTTTTTTCCCACCACAACTCTTGCCGTTCGCTCGCTGGGTTGCAGCACTAATACTATTTCTGGATGCTCCTCTCTCCAACCCAACCCTAGTCCCTAGATCTGCTACCGCTCCAAGCCATGGCTAGCCTGCCTGCGTGCGAGCCTCGCTGCGATTATTGGTGGTTTACTTAGGTGCCGGGCATTTTGTTTATTTATCCCCAACTGAAATCTAGATTGAGCGAGTTGTCGTCGACTAAATTCAGTCCAGCACTCCAGACAGCTCCCCCCCGAGAAAATAAAATATCGCTCGTCTGTTCTTGATCTTGGTCCGGATTCATTCCTAGACTAGATATATATATTTCCTGTGTCCATTCTGATTGCCTCCCCGAGTACACAATCGAGGGGATAGTAACAGAGTCATGGCACTCTGAGTAGGTACAGAGTGGCACGCTGATGTAGCTTTGTTTGTCTGCACCAGCAGGGGATTGATGCTATTTGACTCCACCGCGTGCATCTAGCCTCCGGAGCTGATAGACCGCGGGGAAAGCCATGGCCATGGAAGCTCACAGCCTCCGGTTCGTCAGGTGCCCCAAATGTCACCAGCTCCTCGTCGAGTACCCCTCCATTCCTGTCTACAAGTGCGGCGGCTGCGGTACAGTTCTCAGAGGTACGAATCGTTCCGTCCATCTTTCATTTCTACGTTTATGGAAACAAACAAACAATCTGATTGGTATATGTTGTGTCACCGACGCAGCGAAACATCGGACTGCCCCTGCAGCACGAGCTGGTTTGGAATCTAGGGAGCGCAGCACCGGCTCTCCATGTAGCCTGAAGGGATCCTCTATCCAGAGTAGCGGATCAATCTGCTCGGGCGAACAGAGAGCTGTGTCCTCTGTTGATCGGCCTCATGAGGCCACGCCTCATGGAAGCGTGTCCTCCACTGCCAACAACATCGACTCCTGTGATGGTGCAGTCCATGAAAGAACTATGTCTGCTGAAGATAGTGATGTAACCCATGCCAAGCATCCGAACGAGGACATGTGCTCCTTAACTGATGATGGGAATATCCAAAACTCTGGGGTTATGGTCAAAGAGAGAGAGACACATGGTGAAGACGCTGGGGCTGGTTCTGGTTCGGATTTGACTGAAAGAGGCGAGAATGTTGACAGTGGTGAAAAGGCCAATGGAGGCAAAATCGGTGATATTGGCACTAGTGAACTAAGCATGACACTGTATGAGAAAAGCCAGGCTGCTCACAGGGAGGAGAAGCCGCGCACGTATGAAGGCATGCATGTTGAGTCTCACAAAGCTCTGATCGAAGAGTTGGAGAGGTCTCTTTCATTTAGTAGTGATGATGAATACTTCTCGGACGAAGCAGAAAGCAGCGGGCTTAGTGATGCTCTGCATAACCAAATGGGTAGCCGCAGGTTCAGAGTGAATGATGCCCCCCGAAGCGATCCACATGGTCGATTGATTGAAGAACTAGAGATGTCTTTCAGCGATGAAGAAGAGCCATTGGAGCAGCATGGGATGGGTGCAGGTAGAGTTCATGGAAATGTGCTTGACAAGGATCCACAGGCCCTGGGTGCTAAAAGTGCACATCCATGTGAAGAAAGCCTCTCATCATTTGGCAGTGGACATCTCAAATCTGAACAAACTTCTCACCAGGAAAGCAGGGCAATAAGAAATGGCAATCAAGGAAATGAGCGTATTGAAGATAACAACAATACTGCCAACTCTGTTCATGGGAGTGAGCATATTGTGATTGCCGACGATGAAATTGCAGAGAGATTCCATGAGAAAGAGCATGGTAAGGATTGCCAGCCTGCAAACACAGAAAGTGCATATCCTTTTGAAGGAAGGACCTCTTTAGTCGATGATGGCAGCATCGAGGTTAAGCAAAGTTTTCAACTAAATGACCTGACATCAGATGTCAATCGAGAAATGGAAGATGACAAGATAGCCAATGATAATCTTGTGCCTGCAGATTCCCATGAGAAAGAGCATGGGAGTGATAATCTTGTCCTTGTGCCTGCAGATGAAGACATTGCAGAGACAGTTTGTGTAAATGAAGAGCTAACAGCAGATGGCACTCAGGAAATGGAAGATTGCTACATGGAAAATGACGAAATGACCAATTGTGTGCATGGCAATGATATTTCTATGCTTGCAGATGAAAACATTGCAGAGAGAGTTCATAGGAATGAAGATTTAACAACTGATGTCACTCAGGAAATGAAAGAGGGTTCTATGGAAGACGTCAACATGACCAACTGTGTTTATGTCAGTGATAATCTTGTATTTGCAGATGAAGACACTGCAGAGAGAGTTCATGGAAATGAAGAGACAGCTGATGGCACTGAAGAAAATGAAGAGAGCTGTATGGAAAATGAAAATGTGAATGTTGCTGTTGCAGATGAGGACATTGCAAAGAAGGTTCATGAGAATGAGCATGGTAAGGATCGACAGTCCCTGGAGGACGAAAGTGCACATCTGTATGAAGGAGTCATCACTTCATTCAGTGCCGGATACTCCAAATCTGAACAAAATTTTCAACAAGATGAGCCAATACTTGATGCCACTGAAGAAAAGGAAGAGGATTTTATGGAAGATGGAAATACGGCCAGCTGCATTCAAGAAAACAGGGCAGCTGTTGCTAGGTTCTCAAGCTTGCCAAATAAGAGGAATCAGTCCAAGTTAGCTAGCTTTAATAAGAACAAAGAACAAATGACCTACAGGCCTAGAGGTAGCCAGCTTCGTCAGGGACGGTCACTTGATTCCGAAGATTTCCACTCAATTCAAAACTTTATGGAGTCACAAATGGATGATACCTCAAGTTCTCTCTCAAGTGGGTCTCCCAGTCGAGGCGATTTGGTGCACAGAACAACAAACAAGTTCAATAATAACATTAGACATGAGCGCCTCAAAAAGATGGATGAACTAAGAGATCAGCTAACTATGGCTTTCGAGCCAGAAGGGCTCGGAGAGAAGTTACCAGAAGAGAGGCCTAGAGTACCAGCAACAATCCAATAGCTATGATGTTGAGCACCATCTTCAAAGTGTTGATGGTGATTCCGTTCCAAGTTCCTGTGCTCTAGAATCCTATTATGGTCATGGAAGGCCGCCAAGGTACCCACCACCAAATCCTTTCTCTCCAACCCATACATACACACATTGCCATTTTGGACATGCTCAAACACGCCTACCACACAATTATGACCCATGGGAGTTCAATTCATATTATCAGTCCTCGTACGCTGAAAGTACAATTCTGGACCATGAATCACTTAGGTCAAGTTACAAGGAGCAGAAACGAGTGGTGAGAAAGCATATTTTGCGGCCTCTGTCAGGTGCTTCCCCATTCACTATCTGCAATAGCTGTTTCAATTTGGTTCAAATGCCATCAGATATCTACATATCAAAAGCAAAGGTTGGCAAAATGCAATGTGGCAAGTGCTCCAAGGTTCTGGCATTATCATTTCCTGCAGTATACAATGCAAATGCAAAGAGTAGTGTGGATGTGGCCCAAGAGTCGTACAACCTGGATGATAGCATAGTCGCTAAAAATGATGATATTGCTTCTTATTATGCTGAGTGCCTCACAGGGGGTCCTGTTAGTATCAGTGAAGATTATGGAGCATCGTACACAAGAAGCTTGCCTACTCAAGCTGGATCTAGTAGCCTTGCTGCTACAAAAAGTGGCAAGAATGTTTCTGACTCGGCACTCCATCGACTCATGGGTTATGATTCAGCTAGCCAGTTGTTACGTCACAGCAGGGTGTTTGAAGATGGATATGAGAGCTTCGAGTCAATGGTGCCAGTTTCCAGCAGAGTATCCAGAAGAAAGAACAAATAAGGTTTTACTCTGAAGTGTGAAACCTTTTGCTCCCTTTGCATGTAACTTAGGAAGGAGAAACAATTTTGGAGTGTGGTCCAACCGGTACCGCAGAAGCCCTTTCTATGATCTGAAGGCAAGTTGGCATCTTGCCATCAAATAGTTTCATTAGTTTCTCAGAGAAGTTGGAATATTTGAAGCAATTTAGTTTTGTCATATTCTTTAGTTATGGTGTATAGATATTGCTTATCTTGTTGTAAATTTGTTAATATCTGGTATAATGACAATTATTAATACCACACTGTTGGTAATCTCGTGGTCAAAATTGATCATATAGTCGGTATACTGTTAAGTTCAGGTCTTTCACAACTCCTGCATGTTGAATTAAGACTCAGAAATGAGAAATGGGAGCTGTAGACATTGTATTGACACTAACATAGTTCATTTTCATTTTAGCTTTTCTTTTCCTCTGTCACAAGAAAAATGTCCAAGACCGACAGTAGCATGCTAACAGATCAAAGGCAGGTTGCACATTATTTGTGCTGGCTCATGTGTGGAAGTGAGGTGGACTATCCAACCAACCACTAAATTTTGCAGGTGCATGTGGCTTGTCTGTAAAGACATGCACGATGTGTCTCATGATCGCAGTCGCAGCAGACAAGGCTGCTGCTGGATCTGATTGCATTGTGAAAGGCAGAGGCTGGCTGTGGACAGGCTAATACAGCCATTCCTGATGGTGTTGAGATACTATCATCCTGTTCGGGAGGCCGTATCGTATCGTGGATTATTTACTGCTGGCTGGTTTGGTGTGAGAGAAAAACACTGTTCTCGGCTGGAAAATTACGATCGTTTACGACCAAGCGAACAGGCTGCTGTACCCCACAATGCCATGAAAAAAGGTAGGTGATGCAATGATGACATCCTTGTGATGAGCTTGTTCTGCAAGTGTTTTGTTGGATTCCATATACTGTTTTGCATGGGAGCATGATAATGTGAGAGCATAACAATCATTTTTATATTCCTAGGATCTGGTTTGTTCATGTGCACCATGTGTAATCTTCTGAAAAGAAATGGGGGAAAATATGAGGTGGTTTCTTTCTAGTTTGTTGGCCCTCTGGCCACTGGTTTAATTTGGTACACCTTTGCCCAGAGAGTCAGTCTTTTTCATGGGGCCTCCTGCAATGCAAATATACAATGCAAGCCTGGCAATGTAAAGGTGGTGTGGTGCCTACTGAGAAATAGAACGATGAAGTATAACTATTAGCCTAATGATGAAGAAAACATGGGGCTGTTGGGGTCTGTTCACTGTTGTGATGGTCTTGTGTGTTTCTTGGAGTACCTGGATGCTGCACACTGTTAATTTCAGACTCTGTGATCACTGAAGCATTTTGTGTTTCATAGAGATTATTCTTTTTCATCTGCTACTGTACACTAGAGTAAGTTAGCTTGTAGCAGAACTGCTAGCTGGGCCTTGGCAGAGGCACACCGCAGCAATAGCACTGTAGCAGGCCGTTTGCAGGAGTGGCGTTGCTGCGCATCGCTGCTAGCCCAACAGCTTCTTGTGTGTGTGTGTTTGGAAAAGTTTAGGCAGAATAGCCATTTTGGTGGCTCAACTATTTTTCGAGACTCAGTTTCGTCCCTGAACTTTCAAAACGGCCGTTTTAGTCATCAAACTCTACTTTTAGACTTAATTTCATCCTAAAACTATGAAGATGATCGTTTTAGTCCTCGAACTTTGCATTTTGGGCTTGATTTCATTTATAAACTATCAAAGTATATTTTGTTCTTTAAACTTTTATTTTCAACACAACGTTGTCTACGTTCTACGTGGAACGCTGTACTGTTACACCTAGTTAGCTCGAACACCATCAGCGATTGGAGATAGAAAAATAATATTCATCCAAAAACTCTTTCGTGGTCATTAATAATTCCAAGCTGTTATTTTTAGTGTTACCTTATCATGGTACCATTTATATATATCCGACTAAATGATATTACGAGAGCAATTACAGTTGCATCGAACACTATTTATTCATTAAGAATACATGGATATATTGAAACAATAGCATATCTATAATTTTAATAATTTATGGATGAAATTATGCCTAAAATATAAGGTTCTCTTTTTGAATAGACAAAATTGAGTTGAAAATAAAAGTTAAATGCACTTTGATAGTTTATGGATGAAATTGATCCCAAAATGCAAAGTTTGAGGACTAAAATGATCATCTTCATAGTTGTAGAATGAAATTGATCCTAAAACTAAAGTGTGAGGACTTAAACGTCCGTTTTAAAAGTTTAGAGATGAAATTGAGCCTCGAGTAATAGTTGAGGGACCAAAATAGCTATTATGCCAAAAGTTTATTAACCAAAGGTAGCATTTTCATGAAACGAACAGGAGTTCAAGAGGAGCAAATGAAAATTAAAACAGATTCTGGGTTCATAAATCAAGTAAGTCAGAAAATTTGGACTTTGCCCTAAATGTCAGCAAGTTGATTTCTTTGCCCTAAAAGTCAGCATGTTGGTGCCAACCCCCTTATCCTACTCATCCAGTCATCCGCGTGCCTCACTCCACACACCATTGTGACCACAGGTTGAGCCGCTATCTATCAATGATGCCATATCCCGTTGATCGTCTTCCCTCCACGCTCGCAACCCTCGTCCCAGTCGCAGCATCGTCGACAGTCCTCTCAATTCGGAAAAAAAAATCGGTGCATACTATCCACCATGCCTCCCTGCATACATGCCATAGATAGTTGCCATGTATCCGGTTTGACTAATCCAACGGCGTGCACCCGCTTGCCTCTCATGTGCTTGGCTCCGGCCTCCAGGTTCTCGTCCATGGTTTTGCGGGCTGCATGCGTCAGATGCTTGTTGGTGGACACGTGCCGCACATCAAAGTTGCGTATGCATGGACGTTGTGTGCATCCAGTACGCACTAAATGTTTTCCCCTCAATTTGCCATTGCCTCCATGAGTCCACGTGCATCTCCAACCCAAGCACCCCCCTCCATCATGAGCCACCTCTCTCTTGCAGCAGCCCAACGTCGCCAACTTTGTCGTGTGCTACCGCTAGCCATGGGTGAGTCAAGCACCGTTGCACATGGTAGGCATGGCTGCCAGTGTCAGGAGCTTGATGCGAAGGAGGTGGACCCTCCTTGAAGGATGTGACCAAGCCCTTGGATGGTCTTCATGATGTCCTAGAGCTTGATGTGTGTGATCTGTGAGAAGACCCCATGGGCACGCATAGAGGGCATAGGAGAGGACGGCGCCGATGAGGATGCCGAGTATGGGGGCTCGCCGGGGATGATGCAGTCAACGTGGACACGAACAAAGTCAAAGAGGGCAGTCAAGCTTGTAGAAGTGGCGGGAGATGAAGGAGCAACGACCGAGCAATTTAATGTTAGCGATGTGCTTGAAGATGATGTGGAGGAGCAGCGGAGTGTCTTGGGGGGCCTTTTTTTTAAACTGAGTATAATCTCATTACTCAACGGCTAACAAATCATTAGCAACAATTACATAAACACTTTCAGGGATGGAACTCATGACTTGTTCCTCCCTAGGATTACACAAATAACCCAACACAGCCAGCTCATGAGCGGCTTTGTTACAATCCCTACTCTTAAAAGAACACCCAAAACTAATAAAACAAGAAGACACTAGGGACTTTATCTCCGCAATTAAAACACCCACTGTAGTTTTCTCATAATCATTTGTGTTTAGCGCCTGAATCACCATCTTTGTGTCTGTCTCCACGATTAGCCGGCCAATACCCAGATCTACTACAGCTTGTATTCCTTGGAGGCAGTCAATGAGTTCAGCTTGGAATGTATTAAAGAGACACTCTATCTTCCCTCTTCCTGACACTATCACATCCCCATCACAGTCTTGGATCAAATAGCCCCAACTCCTTTCCAGTGAACTCGGCAAAAAAGATCCATCACAATTAAGCTTCAAAAAGCCCTATGGGGGTTTCCTCTAATACTCCTTTCTTCGGCGCACACTGTTGCCCGTCAAACTGTTGTCGGTCACAATTGCAGTGTTCTCTTCTGCATATGATCAAATACATCGAGCGGAAATCTGCTCCTCGTCTCTTACCTTCTTCTCTAATTATATTTCTCTCCTGCCAAATATACCACATGGTGATGATCATCAGTAGCTTTTGTTCTTCCTTAGCCTTCAGAATTAGTTCGACTACGTCCTTGACCAACTCAAAGGATGACTATTATGAGCCAAACGCCAGAAAAAATGTTTTACCTTGCCCGGGATTTTCAGCTTCCAGATTGCTTTCCAAATAAAATCAGATACTATAGCTTGTACTCGAAGGCTGAGGCAATAAAAAAAACTTTGCTTTGGAAGCATAGCAAGATTAAAGGCATGTATGTCTCAAAATCCCAAACCACCGTCCTCCTTAGGTAACATAAGTTGATCTCGACTTAACCAATGAATCTTGTTCTTCTCAACCTGCTGGTTCCACCAAAAGCGACAAATCATAGCACTTATCTGATCACACAAAGATTTAGAGAGATCAAAACATCCCATAGCAAAGGTCGGTATCGCCTGGGCCATTGCGTTGATTAAAATCTCATTGCCTGCCCATGAAAGAAATTTCTCATTCCACCCTTGCATCCTTTTCCAAATCCTTTCTTTCAGATATGCAAAAATACTCATCTTGGAGTGTCCCACATGTACCGGCAACCCCAAATATCTCTCACTCATTGTTTCTTTTGTGACCTGCAAAATGTTAGACACCACTTGTTTCTGTTGAGGCTTTGTATTCATACTGAAAAGCACTGCTGATTTCACCTTGTTTATCATTTGCCCTGAACATTGTTCATACAATTGTAGTATTGTCTGCAGCTGCCTACTATCCCCTTCGGTCGCACGAATCAAAATTAATGAGTCATCAACGAACAAAAGGTGAGATATACTTGGCACACTATGACAGATTTTTACCCCCGCCAGAGAACCATCACACTCTCCCTCTTTCAATAGGGCGGAAAAAGTTTCAGCACACAATAA